AATAATAAAAATAATTTTTTGAAAATAATATTAATAATGAAAACATACTTTAAAATTTTTAAACCAACAATAAAAATAGAATTTAAAATAATAAAACGAATAATAAAATTATAAGTTACAATAATTTTAACACTGAAAAACATTTATCTGTTTCAAAAACCGATTATTTGTCTATTGTCAAATAAAAATTTACTTGAATCAAACAATTTTGATTTAAATGAAATAAATTGTATATTTGAACCAATAATTTCAGTAGTTTAAGCAAATACCGTTTAATTGTTTCAAATAAAAATTATAAGTAAATATTTATTTCACAATAGACAAGAAATCAATTATTTCAATCAAATAAATTTTTTCCAGTCTAATTATTTATGTATTAATTTTATTTTAAATTATATTTTTTATTAAAAATGTAATTTGAAATATATTACATTACTGCTCAATTGCTTGCTGTAAAAAATATTTTTACAGTTTTTTTATTGTTAATTTTATTTTTAATTATATTTTTATTAAAAAACTATTATTAAAAAATGAAATCATATTTTTATTAACAAATTATTATTAAAAAATGAAATTATGTTTTTATTAGGTAAAAAATTATTATTTTAAAAAATTTAATTATATTTTTATTAAAAAATTAAAATAAAATTAAGAATAAAAAAATACTGTAAAAATATTCTTTACAGCAAGCAATTGAGCAGTAATGCAATAAAATTATTACTTAACTGCCATAATATTTATTTCTTCATTTATTAATTTTATAATGCAAAACAACACTGAAAAAAATTCGGTCGAAATCTTTAACTACTATTACCTAGTTGAGTTGAAAGTTGTCAAATTAATTACTTTTTTAGTTTTACTAACAATTTTTGTGTAGTTGATTTTACTACTTTGAATATAGTTGAAGAATAATAGTTTATATAACTAAAAAAAGTAGTTAAATTGCAAAAACAACTACAAAATCTAATTACATCAACTAAATTCTTAGTTCTTTTTACTACTTTCGGTAGTAAATATAAATTTTTAAATTCAGTTGAGGACCTATTGAATCACTCAGGGTAGTTAAAAAGTAGTCAAATCTACTAGTTTTTTTTTTGAGTGAACTAATATAATAATGATAATTTTCATATCAGATGCATATTATCTGAATCTCATTTTTATTCTCGTTGACAAATAAAAATGGTGATGGAGAGTGGCATTTGCATTAACAAGTCACGAGATTCCTAAACGATTGATGAGCACCTGCACCAGATTAGAGGTGTTACTGATTACTAACAAAATGGGTAGAGATTAACGCAACCAATGATGTGTTCTACAAACTGCTTCAAGGCTTGCGTGACATCACTTAATCGCAATTTAGATTCTAGACTCTGTGAATTTTTAGTTTCCATTTCAACAGGCAGAATAGAGTGAAAAATTATATAGTTTGTATTTTTTTCTCCCCACAAGGAAAAAAAAGCCTTCACCTCGTTTAATTATTATTTTTTTATTCTTTTAATTGGGGAAAATCTTATACTGTTAGGATGCGGAGAAAAAGAAAATTATAAGGAAATTTCGAATTTAATTGGATATTCTCTACAAATGTATAAGATTCTGTAACTTTCTATAGAGAGAGAAAGAGAGAGAGTATAATTAGCTGTCTCAAGATGAACTACGTTGGCGGCAAGTATAATAATTCTTTTTAACGCAGGGTTGCCACAAAAAATTGATTTTGTTTGTCCCTCATTTCCAAATAGAATTTTGACTTTTTCTCTGACTTTAAAAAATAGTCTAATATTTTCAAGAATTTTTAACTATAATTCTTCTTTAAATCAATTATTTTTAATAATTTTCGAAAAAGTTCTGTAAGAATTTTCAAAATCATTTACTTAAAATTCAATTTATACAAATTTCGATTATTCGGAAATTCTTCAAAAAAAAAAATAAATTAAAAAATAAGAAATCCAAATAAGTTTAAAAAACATTCAATTAAAATTTAAAAAAAAAATTAATTCGACAGAATAGTTAATTATAAGTTTGAAAAATTAAGATTTTCAAAGATTTAAATTTGAAACTTTTTCAAAATTCAATTATTTCTCAAAATTCATCCTAATATGCAAATAATATCATTAATTAAATAAGTAATTGAAAGTTTCTAAAATTGAAATCTTATAAACAATTTTGTCAATATATAATTTCTGTATTTTCTGAGGAATTCAAGTAAAATTAAACTGAAGATAATTGAAATTTTGCGATGATTTTCATTATTTATGAAAATAATAATTCAGGCGAATAATTTTATTCAAATTTTTAAAAATATTTGAATTTTCGTCCGGAATATTATTATTTATTAAAGTAATTGAATAATCGAAACTCTGAGATGAGATTTATTATATATGAAAATAAAAATTGGAGTTATTTAATTGTTTGAAAAAATAAGTTTTAAAAAAAATTTAAATACATTTATTGAAAACTGAAATATTTTCTAAAATTTCAAATTAAAACCATTTGAAATTTATTTATTTATGAAAATTGTTAACGTAATTTTTAACTAACATTCTTCTCTAATTCAATTATTTTTAATAACTTTCGTGAAAACTTTTTGAGAATCCAATTATTTTAATCGTAAAACTCAAAAATAAAATTGTTCGAAAGAAAGAAATAATCTTCGAAAATTGTAATTCTATTATTTTAAAAATAATAATACTCTTCGCATTGATTCAATTACTAGCAATAATTAAAAAAATATTAATATATGTAAATAAGAAAGTTCACTTAAAATGTTAAAATACATATAAAATTTTTTTCTTTTCAATTTAATTATGTGAATACATTCGATTATTTGACAATTTTTCAATTAAATATTATATTCAAAAAGTTGAGTTGATTTTACCAATATTTGAATAAAAATTATTTATAAAACTAACTTCTTCAGAATTTTTATTTGAAATTATCTAAAATTCGAAATTTTCTAACATTTTAATTTAATAAAAATAAAAATTTTGAAAATAAATGTTGTTTTCAAAATATTGAAAATTATTCTGAAATATTATTTTTGTATGAATTTAGATTTTTGGAAATATATGTAATTAAAAACACTGAAAATATTGAATTTTAAAAAATTGGAAGCCAATTTTCATTAATTTTTATTTTTAAATTTAATTTAAACAATTTTCAAAAATTGTAACAAAATACTTAAAATAAATAAATTATTTTTCATTTAAATTTTCAACTATTCAAAAAGATTTTTATTATAGATATATTTCAAAAATTGAATTATGTCTTAAAAAATGATTCAAAAACAATTTTTGAATGATTTGTTTATAGCTACCTTTGAAATTCAATTATTAATAAAAATTGTAAATGCAACTGTTCTAAACTTCAATTAATTTTGAACTTTTGTAGTAAAATTAGTCGCCAAAGAATTAGAAGAAAGAAATTTTAGGGTTTTCTATTAAAATTCGTGGCGATTTCAAAGTCTGAAAGACAATGAAAAAAAAATCAAGAAAAAATAAATCTTTTCCATATTTTCAACTCTAAAATTTAGAATTTGGAAATTTAATAATTTTCCAGTAATTTTTAATGAAACTCCCTGACATATGACAACCTTGATTAAATATAGATTTTTTCAAAAAAAAAGGGTCAATGATGAAAGAGATTAATTTAATATTATTTATTATTAATTGATTTTATTTCTAAATAAAGTTAAATTTAAATCTAGTTAAATCTGTATATTTTATTTTCAAAATTGTTAAATACAAAAATATGGAATTAATTAATTATTAATTATATTATCAATAATTCTAAAGCTATGAACCTCCAAAGAAACGAAATTTATTTATTTCATCTTCATATTAAATTTTTATAACCTACAATAATTATTTAAAAAATATTTAGAAATCAGGATTTAGAATTTTCTTAGGAATTCTAAAAATTTAATTTTTTTCGTACTTTTAATAAATTTTCCTGAATTTCCTGAATTTCCTGACCTATGGCAACCCTGCTAAAAGAAAACTCGACACCAAAAAATTATATTTTTTTTTTATTTTCTCCCTATATTAGGAAAATTTTCTTCGATGTTGAAGATAATATACCATCACCATATTTAAAGGCATGCTACCAAGGTTACATTTGTTTTTAAACGGAAGACTATAAAACGTGTACCTGATTGCCACCCTGGCCGTGACAGGGCCAAAGGCCTACCGGTTGGTGTAGGTCTTCTGGCTTTCCTGGCGAATCTATGCACACGCCACTAGTAAGTTGTCTTATCTGCATTCAAATTCAGCAGAGACGCACCGATTAGAAAGTGTACACAAATAGCAAAGAGCTGATGATATTATTTTCTCGTTTATATGCATTCACAAAAGAAAAACAGGGCAAATCACAAAACTTGCATTATTTCAAATTTACTCCACTACACACACACAAATAAAGCAATTTGCACATGCAACAACACAAAAATATAAAGTTAAACAATAAAGATTCTTTGAAAAGTCGTAAATCGTTTGGAATTAAAGGCGCATTTAAAAACTCATTTAAATCATTTCCCGCGTATTGAAGAAAAAGAAGCAAAAAAAGAAAAAACCATTTTCAATTGAAAACGAATAATAGTTTTAATCAAAAATGCCCGTTGATTCATTTTTAATATTATCTCGTAATTTGAGAACAATTGAAATATATGTCGGGGGCGATTAATTACAGCTATTAGCTTTCAATCAATTTACAAGAGAATACATGACAAAGAAATAACGGGGCAACAAAAATGAAAATAATAAACTGATATATCGATCAAAGGCAATATCTTTCGCAACACCCATTTTGGCATCAGCACGTCAATTTAAATAAACTAGTCATTCTCTCTTTTATCGCGAGCACCATTTGAATTCCAACCGATTCACGGCTTTCCAAGGATCGATAAGTAGCCGTCGACAGCAATGCTGCCATTGGGGATGGGTTTTAATCGGCAACCAATTGCTCTGGGGAATATTTTTTCCCATTTTTTTTTTTTTTTTTTATTGTACCTGGTTGCCGCCTTGTCGGTGGCAGGGATACAGTCCAGCCGGTTTGTGTAAATCGGCCTTACGAGCCGGCGAATCCAAACAGGTGTTGCCTCCTTCACCCAAATTACGAATCTGTATTTATTTACATAGAATTTTATTAAAAATCATTATTTTTTCTATATCCCTGAAAAATCTGTCATTCGAAAAAGAATATATTAATTCATTATCAGTATTAATTATTAGTATTATTTATTAATATTAATTATTATTATTATTTTTTAATATTATCTATTAATATAATTTATCAATTATTACATTTCTGAAAGCAAATAAATAAAATTCAAATAAATAATTATTTATTTGTGAATAAATAAATTTCCGATCAAATTAACACAGGATTAAAAAAAAATTTCAAACAAAGAGAATAAACACTGGAGCAAGAGTCATCGTTTGTTAAAATTACACATAAAATTTCCACATCTATAAAATTTTGTTTCCCTTTTATTATACACGTTCGTGAATAGTTCGCAAAGTTCATAAAATTAACGATTTAGAAGGATGAATTTTTCCCTTCTAATTTTTGTCCAAACAAAATTTTTTTATTTATTTTACTTTAAATAAAAATAAATTTTATTAAAATAATTCAAATTTTATTCTTGCGAAGAATTTTATACAATTTTTTAAATAATTAAATTCTAGAGAAATAAATAAATTTTATTAAATCATAGAATAAAATAAAATTTTTTCTATTGATCAATAATTTAAAGAAGAAAAATTTGTAGACAACATATTTTTTACAGACTTCGCACTCGATAATTAATTTTAAAAAAAGTAGCAAAAAGTAACTTTCAAACTAAAAAAAGTAGTAAAAAAATAACTAACGAAAAATTAAACTTGACGACAAAAAAAGCTGGTTTTAGACACTTCACAAAATTGACAAAAATTACATTCTATATTTAATTTACTGACTTTTTCCTAATTTTCATCAAAAATATTTACTTCTTTCTTAGGTTAAGAAAGAAGTAAATATTTTTGACGAAAATTACTGTTAATAAATTTAATTACTGCAACGAATTTTATTATTCATATCAAAGAATTTAAACATTTATAAAAATAATTTTATTCTTGCGTAGAATTTTATAAACATTTTTTTAAACAATTAAAATCCTGAGAAATTTTTATTATTGATGAAAAGAATTGACTTCTTACGAAGATTTTTACAAAAATTTTTTTAAATAATTGAATTCTGTTTGGAAACTTTATGAAAATAGTAGATATCAAAAATCATTGAATTACGAAAAATTTTTAAAAATAATTTAATTTTTCAAATAATCCTATTAAAATTTTTGACGATAATTAAATGTCTGTGTTGTATTTTATTAAATTTTGTTGAAAATAATTGAATTGTTAGGAACGATTTTATTAGAATTTTTTTAAATAATTAAATTTTTAAGAAAAAATTTATTACTTTTAAAAATAATTGAATTCTTGTGATGTATATTGTTATTTATGAAAATAATTGAATTCTTCGGAAGAATTTTATTAAAATCTAAAAGAATAATTGAATTATTTCAAAAAAATTTAATTAAAATTGTATTCTAAATAATTGATTTCTTTCGAACAATTTTATTAAAATATTTAAAAATAATTGAATTCCTGGGAAAAATTGTAATATTTTTGTAAATATTTGAATTCTTCCAAAGAATTTAAAAAAGAACATTTTTTTAAATAATTGATTTTTTCGAGGAATTGAAATTAAATTTTTAAGAATAATTACATTTTTGGAGCAATTTATGTAAAATTGTATTAAAAATAATTGAAATCCTGCGATGAATTTTATTATTTGTGAAAATAATTGAATAGTTACTATGAATGTTATTAAAATTTTCAAAAATAATTGAAATCCTGCGATGAATTTTATTATTTATGAAAATAATTGAATTATTGCGAAAAATTTGATTAAAATGTTTAAAAAGAATTGAATTTCTGTAAAAAAATGTGTTATTTTTGAAAATAATTGAATTTTTCATAAGAATTTTATAAATATTCTTTTAAATAATTAATTTTTTTCTAAATATAATAATTTTAATGACTAAATTTTAATGATTGACCTTTTTCCAAAATTTAATAATTTTTCTATAGAATTTTCAAATAAAATTTATGTCTAAATCAATTATTGCGTTAATAATTTTTATGAAATTCTCCAAACATTAAATTATTTAAATATAAAAATTCAATTTCTGTAAGAATTGCGACCAAATTTTTGAAATTTGATAATCAGTAGTTGAAGTAAATTTTAATTCAGACCCAATTTTCTTAGACTTTTGCAATTTGAATATCAGTAATTGAAGTAAATTTTAGTCAGACGACACATTTTCTCCCATAATGTTAATTTTGTAACAATTTTTTTAACATTTGCTATTTTCAAACAGAATTAAAAAATAGTCAAAAGTCTGACGTAAAATTTACTTACACTACTAATTCACAAATTTCAGGAGATTAGAAAATTTGTGTCTGACTATATTTTCTGTAACTACTTATTTGTGATCTAACTAAAACTAAAACTACTAATTTCCACTCTGCAGAAGTTTTAATAAATTTTTGTCTGACCTAAAATTTACTTTCACTACTGATTTAAAAAAGGTTTCTGTCCTAAGATTTGTAGTTTTTTTTTAATTTTATAGTCAATACTTTAGTTTTCTATGCTCTTGTAATGAGAAAATTAGTAGTTCAAGTAAATTTTAGGTCAGACAAAATTTTCTTATACTCTTTTTATTAAGAAATTAGTAGTTGAAGTAAATTTTGGTCAGACAACACAATTCTGTTCTGTCTGACTTGAAATTTACTTCAACTACTAATTTTCTTACTGTAAGAGTTTAGAAAAATTGTGTCTGACTCTTGTAATGTGGAAATCAGTAGTTAAAGTAAATTTTAAGCCAGACCCAATTTTTTATACACTTGTAATTTAAAAATCAGTAGTTAAAGTCAATTTTAGTCAGACATTACATTTCTTGCGTTTCTTAATTTTGAAATCAGTGCTGGATATAATTTTAAATCGGACTTATTTTTTCTAAACTCCTCGAATGTAAAAATCAGTAGTTCAAGTAAATTTCAGTCAGACAGTAATTTTTTCTCTCTTGAGAATTGAAATGAATGTAGAAATTTTTTGTTATTTTAAGATATCGACGACTCATATTTTATAAAATTAAATTATTAAATATTTCAATTAAATTATTCAATTTGTTAAATAAAATTTAATATTTTTGCAAAAATATATTCTTTATGAGTGTTTTTTTAATTTCTGCGTTTATTGATCATCCACTGGATATAAAATACTTAATACTAGTTTTTTTTATATTTACTAAAAATTTTAAATGAAAAGAGCGTAAAAGTATAGGAGTGTCACAAATATTTAATCTCAGAGATTGCAGTACCTTTTTTCTTTGAAATAGGTGAAAAAGTGAATTATTTTCTAAAAATAGGTGACAAAAACGTGCCAAAAAAAAATTACGAATAATAAAGTTGTATCCAAATAAATAATTTATATTTATTAAGATTTTGATTAATTTCATTTTATTCTTCATGTAACTGAAGATTAAAAATTTCAAAATATATTCCAACGAGCTACAATTTTGTATCAATAAAAATTGTGGAATAAAAATAAGAATTCGATTAATTAAAATTTATATTTGAGATATACTGAAAAAAATGTATTTGATTCAAATAAAAGATTTGTCAATTATCAAATAATTATATTTTTTAATATGATTTTCATGAATAAAAAAATAATATGTTTGTTACAAAAACCATGTTTAACAAAAATAAGAAAAAATAGTTTTTCCAATTTTTTGCTAATTGTTCCTATAACAAAAATAAATAAAGAAATATCTAATAGTTTGAAATGATTGAAATTGAGATTGATAAAATTGATTGAAACAGGAAAGAAAATTGATTTTAAAATTTTATATATAGATATTGATTTCTATGCTGTTTTATATTGTTTTATACTTCTTTAATTGTAGCCAATTTAATTTTCATTATAGCTTTTAAAATTATTGTCGCATCTAAATTTTCTCAATGGATTTTGATTTCTTATAGTTTTAATTGCATGTTGAAATTTTATTATTATTTAAAATAATAATGGAATGCAGGAGAAGAATATTTTTATAATTATTGGCAATAATTGAGGAGCAAATTTTCAAAAGCTGATAAATCCATTTTTAAAAAAATTAAGATAAACATAAATTTAATATTTTAAAGACCTCACAAATCGACCTGTCACTATTAAATGTAAGAAAAAAAAATTATTAACAACGAATTTTCAATTTAAAAACTTTTTGACATAACCAAGATGACTTATAATTTTTATGTTTTTTATTAGAAAAAATTACCAAAACCTTTAAATCACTATGATAATGTTTTATTAAAAACAGAACGTCTTAAATATTAAAAGATTGTTATAAAAATAAATTAATACAAATTTTTTAATTTAAAATTAACTATAGTGGTTATGTGAAAAAAGTCATTTGTTTCATTTTCTCGAAATAAGAAAATATGGATTTATCAACTTTTGAAAACTTGCTCCTCAATTGAATTCTTCACAAGAATTTTATTAGAATTTTTGAAAATAATTGAATTATCGGCTGAAATTTTTTTTTGTAAATAATTAAATTGGAAAATTTTACTATTTATAAAAATAATTGAATTCTTCTGAAGAATTTTATTGCAATTTTAGAAAATAATTGGAGTTTTTAAAAAGAATTTTATTATTTATGAAATAAGACTCTAGTAGAGTTGAATATTTTTTCCTAATTTTAATTTTCAGAACAAAATTTATGATATGTAACAAGCGTAATTTTAACATTTTAAGAGTCAAAAGCAATATTAACGAGCAAACTCCAAAACGTGACTCCTCCATATCTCCCTATACGCTCTTTTCATTTTCTCTCCTCTCATTCTTTTTTCCCTTTTTTCGGGGCTAAACCATCGACAGTGCACTTTCCATTTTTCAAATGAGCAGTAAAAAATCGAAAAACGGACATTGTGGTTGTTTCTGACGAACCGCCCACACACTGTTACATTTATGCATGTGTGAGATAACGATGTTTCGGCTGACGACTGCTCTCTTTTCC